TCCCTAATATTTTGTAGCTCATCCTCAGTATTTTGTAATTCATCCTTAACATTTTCTAGCACATTCCAATTTTTTTTTTAGCTCATCCCAAGTATTTTCCAGCTAATCCCCTTTGTCCACAAGTATTTTCTAGCTCATTTCCAATATTTTAAAACTCATCCCCATTGTACCCCTGTCTTTTCTAGCTCATCTCCAACATTTTCTAGCTCATCCCTATTATCTTATAGCTCCTCCTTAATATTTTTTAGCTCATCCCAGGTATTTTCTAGCTTATCCTCAATATTTTCTAGCTCATCCTGAATATTCCGCACTATCTTTAGCTGATACATTATAATAATCTGGTGAGTGGGAAGCCCTGGTGCTCTGCTGTGGTTTGCTCCACACGGCAAATATCTCCGTTTCTTTTTCAGATAGATGGATTTTTTTTCATCCAAAGCAAGATAAATGAACAAACTAAATTTATAGATGGTACCAATAACCCCACATATGCCCCAAAATTGACAAGCGCCTGATTCCACCTTGATGTTACTAACTGTTACTAATATTTCAGTCCCCATCGTTTTAAGCAAGAAAAATTCTAAAATTGTACAAACTGAGCCCAAAAATGTGAAATTATGCGATTCTGTTAATTTTTAACAAAGAATGATAATGGAAAATAATAAGAAATTATGCAAAAAATGATCAAATTGTGCTAAATTATGCGGGGTGCATAAAATCACAGAGACAGATATTTGGATTAACTTGGAAGCAAATTAAATGATCACTTTAGAGTATGGTTGGCACATTATTCATAACAACTGGTTTTTCAAAAAATGTGTTTTACAGCGCTTGCAACTGCATAAGGTCATATGAGTGTGTGGGATATATTAAACATTTTTGGGTTGGCAGGAATTAATTTTGAATTTTGCGCGGGTGGTGGCTGAAGCCTACTCTTATCGATTTTGGACCACCAAGGGATCTTTTAATTTTTTTAAATGTGCAAATTGCACAAGGGACCTCTGAGATTTTTCACCCTTATCCGAGATGGCAAGGTGTTGGATCCTATACCTACCATAAGATCAGGGGTATGGTTGAGAGACAGCAGTAAGAAGGAGCCAAGGAGTTGCAGTAAAAAGACTGCAGAAAGAGTCAGGAGCCCAGAGGAGTTGTCAAAGGGGGTGGGGGCAGAAAGTGGAAATGAAAGCAGACATCAGAATTTGGCTAGAGAGCAGGAAACGGGGACAAAGCAGAAAATTTATATTGAAGAAAATTTTCCTTCGCTGTCAGGTTTCGACCCCTGGACCTATTGAATGAGAGGCAAACAGCATAACCACTAGACCATGAGAGCCCCCTTTCATAACTATAACACAGTGCTAGATTGTTGAAAGCTCTGTAAGAAGGTGATTTACATGTGAGGGTGCCATTTTAATGCTGTAAAAAATTTGTGCCGCAACTAATTGTCAAATGTCTCCTCAACTATCGAACATAATCTCTCCAGCTTTTGCACACTGACTTATATCAATTTGTCTTAACAATAAATGACTATTTTTGTAAACATCTGTTAGCTCTATTCTAGAAAATTCCTTAATAAATACTAATAAAAAATCCCAGTGGGTGCTTTCTACAGATTTTAAAAGGTTTACTGCTGGGACAACATCGGACATGTCCGTCATTTTTTTTGTAATTGCGAGATTATCTTTACTGAATGCATGTTTTGAGAAATTTTAGTGCGAAAAAGTGTTCACTATAAAATACATTTCTCTTAACTAGCTTTGCCCCCTAAATGTGTCATAGGTGAGCTGTGACATAAGCCATATGCCTACGCTAAATGTGTGTGAGAAGTGGGAAGATCTGTGAACAATTCCATTTTCCGCGTGAAGGAGATTTGCAGTATTTTATATATTAACGAAGAAAAGTTTTTTAATTTAGCCTCAATTGATGTGGAAAAATTAGATTTAGTTAAGACAAATTGATACAAACTGCTGTGCAAAGTATGGGTGACAATGATTTTCTCCTTAAAAAAGATATTTAAGAATAAGTTGCCCCACAAATTTTAGACCGCACTATAGTCAGTCCTCCTTTTCTCTCCCTCAGTTTTTGACAATGCACCAACAAATAATAATAAATAAACATTTTAAGGCAGTAAAATAATTTTTATTAACACTTTTTATGTCAAAATAAATGGAAAATGAGGCAATTCTGAAAGCATGACAATATAGAAAAAACCTACACCTTGTTGCAAAATATTTCTTTTCCTGAAACAAAAGTCCACAAGTGCTATGAAGAGAAAAATCCACAAATCTGGCAAATGATATGAACACAGTTACATATAAACATACAACAAATGCTCTCCTTTGACAATTCTATAACCTATTTATAAACATACATACCAATGGGCTTCATTAAATTTCGGGTTTGGGGGTTCGAGCCTGAGCTCGGTCCGATGTTGTGTCCTTGGGAAAGGCACTTTACACGAATTTCCCACTTGGCTCGGTCCTATCGGAGACAGACGTTAAACTAGGAGGTCCTGCCCCTTAAATAACCTAATAGTGTTGATAGGGGCGTTAAACCCATACCATTTCACCATTTCACCAAAGTGCTTCATTTTAAAAAAATTCTTTGTATACACATACTTGCACATATCAATATGATAAATTATAAAAATGAATGGTGACATGTTCAAATAAAAAACGTCAGAAGCTTTCCTGAAAGACAAAAAGGCAGTAAACAATTGCAGAACTAAGGTAATTATAGATCACCTTTCATCATCTATACATGTTGAGTTTCTTCCCCACTCCCACATCTTTCCTCATTGTCCAACAAAACAGCAAAACTTGCTGTATGGCAAGACAGAACAATGATAATAATAATATAGAGAAACATTATGTCCTGAAAAACATAAACAGAAAAGTACATTAATTTGTTTAAATTCAAAGCCAGTTTTCTGTGAGCAGTTGTGTTTTCCTTATGAGACACTGCATACAGAGCAGTGTAAAAACTTATCAGTACTTCCACACACGACATCATTTATTTCATGGAAGTCGTTAGGTACGCATACGCCCGCCTAACATTGAATTGTTCGGGGCACGTATTTTCAAAGTCAAGGTCGTTCCTCGATTAATTTCATTAGCGTGTTTGGAAAAGTTGTACAAAGAGACTGAGACTCGTGAAAATATGGATGATACATTGAGATCTAGACCGTCTCTAGATATTGGAAACATTTTCACTTCTCTTAATGAGTTAAGTAAGCGCAGCTATAGAAGACTATGGTAAAGAAAATTTCAGCAGTTTCGTCAAAGGAGACTCCCGAAAGGTAGGTCTGGATCTATTCTTACTCTTAGTCTTGTGACTTTGAAAATACGTGCCCCGAACACTTCAGTGTTAGAAGGGTGTACGTGCGCCTAACAACGGCCTTATTTCATTTTGTCACGTCCAAGTAGAGAGAGTCAAGTTCAAAGCACCGAGTATTCATGTTGAATTTGTGTCAGTATTTTTTTCTCCAAAATTCCTCCATACTCTTCAGAGAATACAAATACATATGAGTGGGAGAAATAATTTTTAGCAAATCCCACTTTTGTTAGAAAGATATCACATCACAACTCAAATCCACCCTCCCTCCCCCCACCCCCGTCCTTCCTGCAGTGGGAATATAAAGGCCAACAGTTACTTGTCTGTCCCCGTGATTTTATGCACCCCGCATAATTTAGCAAAATTTGATAATTTTTGGCATAATTTCTGATTATTTTCTTTAATCATTCTTTGTTAAAATTAACAGAATCCCATAATTTCACATTTTTGGGCTCAGTTTGCATAATTTCAGAATTTTTCTTGCATAAAACGACGGGGACAGACTTGTGCGTTGAGCTGCCCTAATAAATGATAGGCCTGTCCTCTTCCTGCTGCCCTGAGGTGAAAAACCCCCCCGCTATTCACAGGACAAGCGAAATCTGTGTCACAACGTGGAGGAATCAGGCGCTCGTCAGTTTTTGGGCATGTGGAGTTATTGGTATCACCTTAAAGCACTTTCATTTACTGTAGATGAAAGAAATACCTATATTTATCTTGAATACAAGTTGAGATATTTGCGATTGAAGGTGGGGGGTTGCCTGGTTTTAGAGGCAAGATTAGCGAGAAAATGGCCCCCCAAAGTTTGGTCATTTCCTTAGATTGTTAGTCTGTGTAAACAGAAAAATTACATATTTTGTGCCTTTAATCAACCTTTTTCAGTCAAATCCACACAGAAATGTGTTTATGTGTTTATAAATGGACATAAAAGGCGTTGGGCTAAAAAAACACCCAAAATCCAGTAAGAATTGCCAAACCGGCGTGAAGATGCCAGTTTCTTCAATTTCATTATTTGGACGGGCGCCTGATTTCACTAAGCTACCTCACGTATGGAAATTGGCATACAAACTTCTAATATGATTATTCTTTTGACGACACAAACTGGAAGGTAGTATAATATAATAATTACCTGAAAGAAAGAAAAAAGAGTTTTTTACCCAGTAGATCTAACTCATTTTCTTGTGAGAGACGCATTTCACAGGTTGACAAACGAACCTCTTCCATTCCAGAGTCTCCTTCAACTCACACAAACCACAATAATTTATGATCAGATTACATTTTTTTTGTCTCTGAACTTTTTCTAGGAAATTCATGATTTTTTCCTCTCTGAATTGTTTTCTAGGAAGTACATGTGTCTCTTCTTTATGATACATGCAAGTTGCTCGGACAAAAAAAAAAAAGAAATTATGTAGGTTTTCTTTTCTTATTTTAGTCCAAAAAGGACAAAAATGCCCACCAAATGGCTTGGTCACAGTGAGGAAAATGATCAGGGAGAGAAAGAGAAAATATACCCACAGTCTCATGTGGTAGCTTTTAAGGACAAGCGGGCTAACCCAGATTTCGGGGGTTTCCAGAAATCTTGACCTACACCAAAAGTGGGCATTGTTCTCCTTGTCTTTTAATGAAACTGAACAAGGGGCAAAAACTTTACCTTCAATTTTTTCAAAACAGCATTTTTTGGGAAAGCCCCCTCGTGCATAAAAGCGACCATATAATATACACCTCTGCCCCAAATACAAATATATAACAGCAGCATGGTAAAATAACAAAAGCTGCTGCATGTAAAAATGTTGCTTTTTAAAATCTCATGTATAATCAAAAATCATTGTTATAAGAGCCTTAAAAAAACCTCACCCAGAGACAAAAACATGAAGTGCTGCACCTAGAACAGACAAGTTGAAAAAAGGAGCAGTCCAAGAAATGAGACTATCATATGCTTAATTTAAAACTTCATCTAACACTTTTTGTTCACTCAAAATGCCCAGTAAAGAGTCGGAGAGTCAGAGAATTGAAAGATTACGTCATTTATCAATAGCTTTAAGAGCAGAAGCTCCACCTGGATAATGCAACAGCTTTCGCAGCACAATTAAACTTTGTAACGTTGCCCACAGTTATATGACTTTTAGCATACTTAATTTAAAATCACAGCCTTTCAGGTCAAAAGAAATGAACAGAGTATATCGGGATTCTGGACCTTTCAAGTACTAACAAAATAATGTTCTGTCAAAAACATATTTTTTTAACATCATGGTGCCAAAACTTTCATGTAAAAAGGAAATATGTTCTTTCAATTCCAAACATCAATGTTTGACAACTTGGTTCAGGAACCTCCCAGTACTTGAGGAATCATGCTGTCACAAGTAGTTAAAATTTACTCGAAATAATGGCTTAAGAACATGAGCACAAATAAATTGATTTCTCTTATGTTCAAAGTAATGAATTGGATAGTTAATCCTGCACTTTATGACTACGGGCTGCCTACGGCTTGGAACTGGGATAAATTGGAAATCTCCATGGATATCACATCCTCTTTTGTCACCGAAGTTGGAGCCCCTTCATCACAACTGTGGAAAGCGTCTTGGAAAAGGTGGTGACCGTCTGAGGCGACCGGTCGGATCTCTGTCACAGAATCACCGCTACTGGCTCTCTGTATGTCCTGCTCTCCCACCTCCTGGGACTGGCATCGGTCTTCTAAAGAAATACTATTCAGAGAACTGACGGTACTTTGTCTGCGGAACAGCGCGCGTTTCTTCTTTGCTTCCTCGTAGAACATTTTCGCTTGTGCCCTGTCTGTCACAGGTGTACCGTCTAATTTGAAAGCTTCTGGAGCGAGTGAGAAATCATCTGATGTAGGGCTTGCTGTCGATGGTTCCTGGCTTGTGACCGAGGTCTGCGTGTTTGTTCCCTCGACAGATTCTGTCTGACTCGGTGATGATTCGTAGACAAGTTCAGGATGTGATTCTAGATTACGGGAATGAAACGTTGATAGTCCCGCAGGCGATCCTCTTGTGATGTGATTGTTTTCACTGGAGGAAGCTGATGTGTTTGATTCACTTCTTTCGGTGTTGGCGCTTGAATGACTTGGAAGACCATTTGCCAAGGGAGATGGCTTGGACCGCCTGTAGGAGGAGCCTGTGGTCAACCGATAGTTCTTTCCCTTGTCCTCAGAGTCCCCACCTTCTGAAGATGATGAAGAGTTGTACGCCGACCTCATGAAATGGGCGTTGACGAAGAAAGGATTAGGGGGCAACTCTTTCTTTGACTTTGGTTTTGGCGTGTTCTGGGCGGTGGATGGTGTGGAGGTTGGTGTGAAGGACTTGCTTGAGCCTGATGAGGAGGAAAGAGTTTGGGCAACGTTTGGTGGGGGTAACAGAGGAGGCATTTTCAGTTTGGGAGAAGATCCAGCCGGGCTTTTTGGGGCTTCATTCGGGCTTGGAATGGCATGAGGGGTGCTTGGTGAGAGAGAGCTTGGGCAGCTGAAGGGAGACTGGTCATCCAACACAAGGCTAGTTCCACTGTCCAACATGTCAAAGTTCTGAGCAGGCGTGGTTGTAGCCGTGACCACTGGCACAGCCTCATGGCGACCATTCTCGGGGTGACTTCTGCTGTCAGTGACGTCACGCATAACTGACGACTGAGGACAACTGTTCGACAATATCCCAGTCTCCGCGGCAGAAGACCCAAACAAAGGCATCTGTCTGCTGTTGCTGTTTTTCTGACCAGTCACATGGGAACTATCCACGTTGGAAGGAACACCTCTGCTAGATTGGCGCTGTAAGTTGTGTGGCTGACCCGGGGCCCCGAAGGTTGGGACCTGGTCTTGAGGTGGCGTGCCGAACACACTGTCACAGGACGAAGTCGATGACAACGGCGACCTTCTCCCTCTGTTCCGGGAGGAACGGTGCGAGTTGAGACCAGAGTTGTGGCTCTCCGACAGTCGATCCGGCCAATGTCTCTGCTCAGACGAACAAGTCGACGAGCGAGAAAGCTTATCCTGTTTGAGATCGGAGAAAAACGGATTTGTGCTTGGAGAAGCTTGTACCCCTGGTGTGCCAAATGGTGTGGATATTGAGCTTCGGCTCTCCATGCGTGAAATGAACTTCTTCAGCTTGCGGTATTCTTGCACACTCTTCATGTGCAGGAGTTTGATATCCTTTGACTGGATGGGAATTCTGGGAGGGCCTTCTCGCTTCAGTCTGACAACATCTCGTATAACCTGGCAAAGACAGGAAGGAAGCAGTAGTCAGTTACACCTTACATTCAAGGAATAATGTAACATTTTTTTTTTTTTCATTTTTTTTTTTATAGTAGAGGGTTTTACGACGCTCGCAACTGCATAAGGTATAATGAGCGCCTAGGGTTGGGTGTCAACAGAGAAGTCTTTTCAGGGAATCAGACTTAGACTGCTCACCTCTCTAACTTCAACAGCACAAGGTCTGCTTCGACTATCAAGGCACCCCAAAATAGCAGGTCACAAGAGAGTGACAAACATACAAAAGAAGTAGAGGAAAATGACAATAGTAAGGATCAGGAAAGAAAAAGCAGCAGTTCCCTGTTGCAGATCAGGCACAGTTATGAGCGTGACATGAGTCAGCCCATTTACAATTCTACTATGCTTGAACGAGATATGTCCCCCCTTTGGGAATGGCCAAAAGACACTTCAGTCAGTGGCACTGCCCCAGGGGGTGAATGTAACATTTATGTCCCAAACCAACAAACTATCAATATTGATGCCATCCTGACACTATCATCTTGTCCTGCATGGTTATCAACATACTCTATCTGTGACAAGAGCTGTGTCCATTCCACTTTACTTTTCAATATTCAAGATTCTTTTTTTTTTATAGCTATTTACAGCTATCTGAAGCCATTCAAATGCTGTGTGATTTTTACAGATTATATTATAGATTTTTGGTTTCATTTTTCTCCATCCTCAGTAAAGTTAGAGTATATAATATCTAAACCCACTGAAGTAAACTTTTTTTTTTTTGCAAGTGCCGTAAAACTCTTACTAAAACTAAAACAGTTTGTCAAGTCGTTGCCTCATCAATGTCTTAGACGTTGCCACTGTCGGCTCAACACTCACTTCTTTAGAATAAAGTTAAGTTGTTCCCGCATCCGATCAGGACAATGGGGATTGCCTTGTTAGTGAGACAACTTCCTGGGCCTTCGGCATAATATTGTGGTAGGGTGGCCAGTTCCTTTCCACGCCGCATTTACTTCCCCAACTCGAAGTCAGGTACCCATAACTGCTGGGTGGGCAGGAGGGGGGCGAAAAAAATCAGTGTCCGAATCGAGACTTGAACCTGGACTTTCCGCTTCGGAGATGAGCACACTAACCGCTCCGCCACCGCACCCTCTTGTTTAGTATAGTCTGGTTAAAATTCTACTGCGCTCACAACAGCATAAGGTCATATGAGCGTGCAGGACCCAAGTTGGCTGTTTTTTAATCAGTTTGTAGCACGGGTAAGTTTTACTTTGCAACTTACTTGTTTAATCTCCTCAATGTGAAGCAGAGTGTTAAACTCTGTGAGTTTGCTAAGTCTCTCAAAGTTCTCGTGGCTGTATGTGAAGTTGAACGTTGAATACGGAGCTTTGGGGTTGTCAAATATGTCAAAGTCTGCAAAATCAAACTCCTCCTTTGTTTCCCGTGGAACTCCTGAAAATTTATGGTGGGAAAAAAACATCAAGACTTAAAAATAAAATTAGGAAAGTGAACTGCAACATCATTCTTTACATACGATATAATTTACTTGGAAGTATCTTTTCCTTAGTTGACTTGGAGTTCTTGGTTCTTAATAAATAACCTCTCTGTGTTGAAATGAAATGTACTTGTATACCATACCATACCACACCATGACACGATATATTTATATCTTATATATAAAAACAAAAAGTACTCTCACGATACCAGGCACAAAGTTAAAAAATTAATAAAACAAACACCCTTCTCTCTGACAATTTTTCGATTTGACCCCAAACTCGATCTAAAAGACTCTTACATAATTACAATCCCATAATGTAAAGTGTTCAAGCTAGTAGAGTCAGCCAGTTGCTTGAATTTGAGGTACCAGTAGGCCAGTTATGTTTTTACTTCCCTAAACAGTTCAGTATGAGGTAAACAGACCAGTTCTCGCTAAACCAGGCAATATCACTCACTAGTGGGCCGTTTGATAAATTTGATGGGTGGTGGGGGGTGATCCAGATAGTGACTGGTGATATTTAATGCCTGGCTTGGAAATGTAGCTGGGTGGGTATGAAAATTTCAGCCTCTTAAAAGTGGAAAAAGTAGGCGCTGGTAGTAAATGGTCGCGTTTAAGGACAAGGGGGCTGTCCCGAAAAATGCTGTTTTGAGAAATTCGAAGGTAAAGTTTTTGCTCTTTGTTCAGTTTCTTTGAAAGACAAGGAGAGTTTTCTCTATAACCAAACAAATATACACACCAATGAAACCAAACTTCTCCCATAGATAGGGTAATGCCCACTTTTGGTGTGGGTCCAAGATTTCTGGAAACCCCCGAAATCTGGGTTAGCCCGCTTGTCCTTAAAAGCGACCAAGTAGCTTGACAAGTGCTGATTTAGATTTATTAAGTTTTTCCACATCATAAAGAGACACAACATGAGAAAGTTAAAAGCCTATTACCTTGAAAAATAAAACTCCAACAAAACAACCCCGCCCACGCCTCTAACCTCCCCCCCCCCCCCCCCCCATCCAATGAGACATTGTAAGTCAAAACCAGGAACTAAATTGAACTTCACAAAAATTCTGAAACTTTCACCAGATCACATAACTCTTACCAGAACATATATGTGAGGCAGCGTGGAGAAATCAGGCATTCGTAAAAATAATTAAATCAAAGAAACATGCATTTTTCAGTCACTTTGGCAATTTTTATCGAATTTCTGTTTTTTGGCCCAATTTTGTCATCTTTTATGTTCATAAAAACACATTTCCATGTGAATGTTACTAAAAAAATGTTGATTAAAGGCATAAAATATCTAATTTTAAAGTTTTCAAGGACTCTCAAGCTATTGAAGTTTCCAAACTTTGGAGGCCATTTTCTAGCAAATTTTACCACTGAAACCTGGCAACTCCACCTCCTTCAATCACAAATACCTGGACTTCTATTTAAGATAGATTGGTGTTTTTTTCATTGAAAGCAAGGCAAATGAATAAGTATTCAGATGATATCAATAACTCCACATGCCCCAAAATTGACGAGCGCCAGATTCCATCGCTCTGTGACACATATGACTATTCTTACCTGGCTTCTTGTAGTGGCGGAAATCCTTGTTGATGAGCACAAAATGAAGCACCACGGGGCAGTGTGGGTCAGTGGGGTGGCGGAAGATGTACAGCTCCTTCATGCCCTCCCTGTCAAAGACGGATGCGTCGATCGGGGGGAACGGCAGACGGTTGAGCCGAGCCCACTTCTCCGCCAGCAAGAGCTCCTGGGAAGACAAGGAATTGCATTGTATATTTTTAGTGAACGCATTTCCAACCTCATTGCGAGAGTTTTTCTCATAGAAATTTGTATACATATACATAGATATTATATGCATAATACTTTGTTTTACGTACACGCATGTCGATTAGTCTTTAAGATGTGATGTCTTTTTCGATGTAATGCACATTGAGCATTTTGCTATTTATTATTAGTATTAATGTTGGAGAGGAAATTGTTAAACAACATCCATTCCTCTCACCATCATAAGACAAAATCACATTAATTCTGTTCACCATCATAAGACAGAACCACACCCATTCTGATCACCATCATAAGACAAAACCACATCCATTCTGATCACCATCATAAGACAATAAGACAAAACCACACCCATTCTGGTCACCATCATAAGACAAAAAGACAAAACCACATCCATTCTGGTCACCATCATAAGACAAAAAGACAAAACCACATCCTTTCTGATCACCATCATAAGACAAAACCACACCCACTCTGTTCACCATCAGAACTCTTACATGTCATAAGCCTATTCCCTGCTTTGTCTCAACAACTCTATTTTTTTCATTCAAGAGAAGAAGAAAAATAGTTTGCAAGCACACTGACTTGTGTATGAAAAACTATGTGAACGTAAAACTGATTATATAATAAATATGATAGTGTCAATGACTGTCAAGATGACTGACTTTGTATGGAAGCAACTGTATTTGGATACATCCCCTTAAATATGTCATGTGTGACTCAATGTCGAGATATAATGCCATACGAATATGTGAGGCAGCGTGGTCAAACCAGGCACTTGTCAAAATAAAGAAACTAGCATTTTTCTGTTAGTTTTTTCAGTTTATTTCGCTTCATTCAGAGACAAGAGTTTATTTTTTTTAATGCTTTGAAAAATTTGAACAATATGCATACAATCTGAGTTACATTTTCTCCTTCTGAGTTACATTTTCTCCTTCTGAGTTACCTTTTCTCCTTCTTTACATTTTCTCCTTCCGAGTTACTTCTAAGTTACATTTTCTCCTTCTGCATTGATTTCTAAGTTACATTTTCTCCACTTAAGTTACATTTTCTCCTTCTGAGTTACATTTTCTCTTTTTTAAGTTACATTTTCTCCTTTTAAGTTACATTTTCTACTTCTAAGTTACATTCTTCTGAGTTACATTTTCTCCTTCTAAGTTACATTTTTTTCTTCTCAGTTACATTTTCTCCTTCCGAGTTACATTTTGTCCTTCACAGTTACATTTTCTCCTTCTCAGTTACATTTTCTCCTTGTAAGTTACATTTTCTCCTTCTAGGTTACATTTTCTCCTTCTGAGTTACATTTTCTCCTTCTGAGTAGTTACATTTTCTTCTTCCGAGTTTTAAATTTTCTCCTTCTCAGTTACATTTTCTCCTCCTCTCACCTTAAAGGGCTGGTGCTGGTCAGACGGGCGGGCGCTGAAGTCAAAGGACAAGATGACGTCCACCTGTCGCTGGGGTCTCAGGACCAGGGGGTACGGGGAATTGAACGTCAGCCCGGCGTCCACCATGTACAAATGTTTCACGCTGGTCGGGTGCATCTCGAAGATACCATCAAACTCATCACCTTCTTTTACGCGCTTCTCAACCTGCAGCGAAGAGAGAAGGAGTTTTCTTACTGTTGGTCTGTTTGTTTAAGGGAAAGAGCAGAAACTATACAGGATGACTGGTATTATCTGTTGACTGGTGTCAAGTGTGAGATGTACAAAGACCACATTTCAAATGCTGAGGTACTGAACAGAATCACAAACTCAGTGGGGCAGCATGAAGATCTACTGACCACAGTGAAGAGACAAAAATTAAAATGGTATGGGCATGTCATGCATGCAAAATGCCATAAACTTATCTTAATAATGAGGGACTCAAGTAGATTATTACCCCAAACCCCCTCACCCCCTAAAAAAACCCCAACAAACAACCTCCCCCCCCCCCAAAAAAAAAGAAGAAAACAACAACAAAAACCCTCCAAAACAAACTAAGCCTCAAAAACAAAATATTGACATTATGCATACAAACAAAGAATTGTTTGAGAGGCATCGGTAGCCTAGTGGTTAGGCTATCAGACTGGGTATCATAAGATTGCGGGCTTGAGGGTTCAAGCTTCAGTTCAGTCCGACGTTATATCCTTGGGAAAGGTATTTTATAAGAATTTACCATTTGGCTGGGTCCTTTCTGAGATGGACGTTAAACTCCGAGGTCCCGCCCGTCTCTCAAATAACGTTGATAGGGGTATTAAACTTATACTGTTTCACCAGTTTCAAAGAACTGTTCACCAGCAACAGCGACAGAAACTGCGGGAGGGTCTTTGTGGCGTCGGTGGCCCAGTGGTAAGGCTACCAGACTCATAATCGTGAGGTTGCGGGTTCAGGGGTTCGAGCTGCGGGCCCGACGTTGTGTCCTTGGGAAAGGCATTTTACACTAATTTTCCTCACTATGGGTACCTGGCCATAGGCAGCGAAAGATCTTGTCAGTAAGTTAGTGTTTTAGCGCCTATAAACGACTGCTTGCACTGTATGCTTCCCAGGAAGTTGAGGTTGTTTCAGAATGCTTTCAGGTCTGCTGGGGTAATAGTATAGATTGTGAAGCACATAGAGCTTGCTGTTGAGCGGGGATTTGCGCTATACAAATGCTATCTATTATTATTATTATTATTATTATCATTATTATTATTATTATTATTATTATTATCGTTATCTCATTTCGTACCGGCGTAAAAGGAGACAGAGGATATGTCTGCTGTAAGGACAAGCCCCGCATGAAGTTGTGGATGACAGCGGCCCGGCCGCGGCGTGTGCTGAACAGCTCCCATTTGCTGGAGGAATACAGGAGGGGGGGGGGGAGAGATTGTGTTGAGTGAGGATGAGTGAGTGATTGAGTCAATGAATGAAGGAAGGAAGGAATGAATTGATGGATGGATGGATGGATGGATGGATGGATGGATGGATGGATGGATGGATGGATGGATGGATGGATGGATGGATGGATGGATGGATGGATGGAAGAATGAGAGAAAGAGAATAACTGAAAGTCTTGAAATAGCAGACATAAATGAAATTACAAATACAAATCCAGACAAAACAGCATTGTGGGTTGTGAAGATAATGAAATTTAAAGAAAAATATGCATGGTTTTCCTCACTACAGCTTCACTGATAGATAGATAATAACAACTTATAGACTGACTATAACACAGTGGTATTTGAATCCACTGACGTTGACTCACATAAACTTTTCAACACTTTGATATGTTTAAAATAGCACATTCGCATTTCTTTCCATGAAAGAGTTTTCTGCTTTCGGACTAACACAAACACTTTAGAATATAGTCCTAAATCCTGTTTAGATGAGTCAAGGCGTACAGTAGTTTTTTTTACTTAAATGGTTGAGAACAAACAATTCTTCAAAAAGAGTCATCTTTGCAAGCTCCAATATTAAGCCTGTAATTACTTGCCAGACAGAGAATGTAATCTTGGTCGTCACACAAAAAACAGTGTACTTACTTTTCCATTCCACTCAAGACAGACAATATCAAGATACATGTACTTTCATTTTTTCTTATGAGAGGCTAATTAATTCCTTTACAAGATAGTGTTTTTAACCCAAAGTATCGATAAAAACCAAAACATAAACCATATGAGAGTCCAAATTAATACCTTCATAAGAAAATACTTTAAATAAACCCAAAATATCCATAAAAACCAAAACATAAACCATATGAGAGTCCAAATTAATACCTTCATAAGAAAATACTTTAAATAAACCCAAAATATCCATAAAAACCAAAACATAAACCATATGAGAGTCCAAATTAATACCTTCATAAGAAAATACTTTAAATAAACCCAAAATATCCATAAAAACCAAAACATAAACCATATGAGAGTCCAAATTAATACCTTCATAAGAAAATACTTTAAATAAACCCAAAATATCCATAAAAACCAAAACATAAACCATATGAGAGTCCAAATTAATACCTTCATAAGAAAATACTTTAAATAAACCCAAAATATCCATAAAAACCAAAACATAAACCATATGAGAGTCCAAATTAATACCTTCATAAGAAAATACTTTAAACCCAAAATATCCATAAAAACCAAAACATAAACCATATGAGAGTCCAAATTAATACCTTCATAAGAAAATACTTTAAACCCAAAATATCCATAAAAACCAAAACCTGAACCATATGAGAGTCCAAATTAATACCTTCATAAGAAAATACTTTAAACCCAAAATATCCATAAAAACCAAAACCTAAACCATATGAGAGTCCAAATTAATACCTTCATAAGAAAATACTTTAAACCCAAAATATCCATAAAAACCAAAACCTGAACCATATGAGAGTCCAAATTAATACCTTCATAAGAAAATACTTTAAACCCAAAATATCCATAAAAACCAAAACCTGAACCATATGAGAGTCCAAATTAATACCTTCATAAGAAAATACTTTAAACCCAAAATATCCATAAAAACCAAAACCTGAACCATATGAGAGTCCAAATTAATACCTTCATAAGAAAATACTTTAAACCCAAAATATCCATAAAAACCAAAACCTGAACCATATGAGAGTCCAAATTAATACCTTCATAAGAAAATACTTTAAACCCAAAATATCCATAAAAACCAAAACCCGAACCAAGTGTAAAAAAGGTGGCCCACGAATTGAAAGAATCCAATTTAGGCAGAATGTGTAGAGATACAACTTTAGATCTGTAAATCTATAAAGATAATAATATTTGCGAAGTGTGCTGACAAAATGAGTTACTTCTTGGACTCGAGCCTTATGGGAATAGATTCATCACGTTAACAGGTGAAGATTTTACAATTTATAAGTATGAAATAATAAAAGACATGTTATAATTAAAGAATATGGCATAAAAAGAAAATCTACATATTTGATCCTAGTGTCGATTTTTTAACCAATATCTTGATTAATTTGTAGATTGCGAGGAATAACTCATTTTGTCAGCTCGCCTCTCCTTCTATTACTCACCTTTCCACCATGCTTTTCAAATACTGCTGCCAGTAGCTTTTGGAGCCACTTCTTGATTTTCTCATTGAAGAACTTGCCCTTCTGAAAGCTTCTCGTTTTTCCTTCGAAACATTCCCTCGTGTGGGGCAGGCGCCCCATCTGACAGATTTCTTGGCGTCTTCACTCTCGTCGTTATTCTCCGCCACAACGTCTAACAACTTGTTGCCAGGCGCTTGTGATTCTAACTCTTCCGAACCCTGCTTCATCTTCTCTATTTTCCTCATCTCAACAGAACCTTTCCTGTTTTCAAATCGGCAAGACTTGAAGAGTTCGTCGTCTTCTTCATCTTCATCATCTTCCATGTCGCTTTCATTCCCCGATTTTCCCTCTTCCTCGTCATCGTTAGCAGGGTTGTTGAAAACTAGTCCGTTCTTGTCCTGGGCATTTGGGTTGCTTTCTTCTACTGTAGGGAGTGATTGAGAGGAGGACCTGCGTTCATTGCTGACTCTGTTGAAATCTTGGGAGTTTTGAGAGTCTAGGCTAGAAGTTGATTCAACACTACTCTCTTTTCGGAAATTCTCTGAGGATGTGTGAATAAAGAAGAAAAGGATGCGATATTGAATTTATACCGTGTTTGATCTGGGGTGTGGTTGGGATAAGTGCGCTTGGGTAAATTGAGTGAAAGAGCGAGTGAGTGAGTGAATGTGTGTGTGTGTGTGTGTGTGTGTGTGTGTGTGTGTGTGTGTGAGTGAGTGAGTGAGAGAGTGTGAGTGAGTGTGTGTGGGTGTGTGTGAGAGAGAGAGAGAGAGAGAGAGAGAGAGAGAGAGAGAGAGAGAGAGAGAGAAAGAATGTGTACATGTGCATGTAGATTTTTTGACTGAATTTGTTATTTTTGCTTACCTTCTACACAACACTGAGTAAGCTATAAGTAATAAACTTGTTTAACCTTATCCGTACGCCCTGGGTCATTTTGTACCCCCGGTGTTGTTTTCTTCACATTTTAGAATACTTCTAGTACGAAGATCTCTTTAATACTTTCAGTATTTCTCCAAAAAATCATTTTGACAGACTGCTATGCAAAGCGTACGGATCGGATTAACGAGTAAATTCCCTCTTGGAAAGTGGTGGCACAGAGTTCACCACGTCGTATGGATATGATAATAAAACACAATGTACGGATAGGGTTAATTTATTAATATTTAACGTTGCTGGTGTTATTGACTGTTCTCAAGTAGAATACACAACAGCTATCAGCAATAAACTTGTTGAAATCTTTCTCCTTTCACTACTCACCTTCACCAGTAGTGGCCCCTGCGTCGCTGTCTATGCTGCTCTGGCTGTCAAAATCAATTTCGTCATCGCTGCAGTCGCTAGAACTCTCTCCCCGAGCTTCGTCTAGCTCTTGTCCGATCTCCTCCCGAAGCATTTGTTCTCCCATCTCACGCCTGCTCGAAAAAACATGATATAGTGGGTGGTTGGCGGGTGCTCTGGTGTGGTTTGCTCCTTCTTTCCTATCAAACATCTATCGACATCGTCCTTATCTCCCCTTCTTCTTTTTTATGTTTGTTACTCTCTTGTAACACCTCTAATCTTCTGGCGCTCATATGACCTTATGCAGTTGCAAGCGCCGTAAAACGTTTACTAAACAAATAAACATGATACAGGACGCTCTTTTAGCTGTGGTCTTCTGGTAGGAAATCTTACTTTTATTCACATGAGCATTTTTTGAGTATTTTAGATATTCACTTGTTCTAACTCATCCATTCATTCATTCTTTAAAAAAACAAACAACTCTCTCATCTTCATTTCATTCATTCATTTATTCATTCTTTCCTTCATTCTTTTATTCATTTCTCTATGTATTCCCACACTCATTCAAAAGTTTCCATGTACTAACTCTTGTACATTATCACTAATCCAACCTGTTAGTTACTGACCTATGAAAGAAAAACAAAAGAAAATACAATCTGAGAAATAAGGAAAGAGACAGAAAGAGAAAAAAGAAAAAGAGAGAGAAAAAAGGAAAAGGACAGGCAGACAGACAGACAGGCAGACAGACAGACAGACAGAAGAAGGAGAAAAATAATGAGATAGAGACAGAATGAGAGAGAGAGAGAGAGAGAGAGAGAGAGAGAGAGAGAGAGAGAGAGAGAGAGAGAGAGAGAGAGAGAGAGAGAGAGAGAGAGAAGGGGGGGAGAGGGAGAGAGAGAGAGAGAGAGGGGGAGAGGGAGAGAGAGAGAGAGAGAGAGAGAGAGAGAGAGAGAGAGAGAGAGAGAGAGAGAGAGAGAGAGAGAGAGAGAGAGAGAGAGACAAACATACAGACACAAAAAAAAAAAAAATAAATAGACAGACAGACAGACAGACAGGAGTGACAGAAAAAATATTGAGAGAGCTCATGTGTACCTACAAAATAAGCGATGAAAACACAAGACAGAACTAGATGTACTCGTTCGTAACAAATCTACCTCATCATCTCGGCGGGATCCAAGCGCCGGTTGTCTTCCAACAGTCTCTTAAACAAGATACAGAAGGCACTGCCCCAGATTCCTTGCAGGAAGTGCAGCGGTTGTTCGTCAAACTTTTTCACCAGCTTCCCCATGAAGAACTTGCTGCCAAACAGCTCGGAGTCCATAAAGGTGCCATATTTGGGCATGCCGATCTCGTACGGCGAGAACTCGACCCATTCTGAAAGGCACAAAGCAGGAACGTGTTGTAAAGTAGAGTAATCATAATGTAACATTATAAGTACCCACTGTATGGATACCTTGCGGGCTTTGGTGCTGGGGGGAACGGAGCACTTATGGACCTGCCCGGTATGCAATGACGTTGTTGCCCAGGACAGGTAATACAGGTAAGTACCCACTTTCAGTATTCCATAACAAGTACTGTAATGGTCAGTATATCGGTATCGCTGAGAGCAAGAAAAGAGCAACACACACACACACACACACATACGCACGCACACACACACACACACACACACATAGACAGATAAACAACAAAGATGTCTAGCCTATGGCAGCACAAGTCACAATCATGTAAAGTATAAGTCTTATATTAAACTCTGGAACACAACCCGAGAAGTTGTTTCATTTAGTAATGTTCAATGTTGTTGGTGTTCTTGGACTGTTCGCAAGTAGAATACACAACATAAAGATCCTTGTTTATTGCGAGATTCTTACGTAGATTCACCGTCCTCGCAGTCAACGCAGTTTTCATCATTTATCCCTTCCAAGCATCGCTAACAAACAGCCTGCTGTGTCACTGTCATGGGAAATTATATGTGAGGCGTGCTGACAAAATGAGTTATTTCTTGCAATCTACAAATCGAGATATTGGTAAAAAAAATCGACACTGGGATCATATTTGTAGATTTTCTTTTTATGCCATATTGTTTAAGTTTAAGTACATGTATAACATGTCTTTTATTATTTAATACTTATAAATTGTAAAATCTTCACCTGTTAGCGTGATGAATCTATTTCCCATAGGACTCGAATCCTAGAAGTAACTCATTTTGTCAGCTCACCTCACATATCGTGATTTCACTATGTTGGAAAAAGCTTGAGAACAGGCAAACCAAACAAGTAAAGGCCATAAACCAATACATTTTCAGAAGGTAGAATGTGTATAAGAAGGAGAGCTCAATTTTGAAGATGTTGGGCAATACAAAAAAAAAAGAGATAAATGAAATAGTGACTTGGAAGTATGGCAAATTGAGGTGGCTGCGACATCACAGAATGAATGTGGACATGTGCATGTAGAGTTTTTGACTGGATTTATTATTTTTGCGTACCTTCTACACAACAATGAGTCAGCTATAAGTAATAAACTTGTTTAACCCTATTATTTAATTGGTTGTCGACACTAGGTGGGTTATAAGGTGGTCTACAGTTATTTTGTATGACGGGGCTGTGCGGGACACATCCTGTAAAAAGACAGCCCCCCCACCCCCTCAAATATTGTTCTAGTGTGGGATTCAAACTTACGTTCTCTGCTTGTAAGGCAAAGAGCACGACAAATGTTCACAGATGCCTGAACAAAGACACCTTGAATACATTTGAAATACACAATTTTCATTTGATGGCTTTTCATTGTGGACTGAAAATGAAATATGGTGTCTGATATTAACATCTGAATCATTTCTAAAGTAACATAGTTTTTGTACAGTGTACTCAATTTTCTTCCAACAGTTAAAAGTCATATATATATATATGTGTCATGACGTGGTGGAATCAGGCGTTCATCAGTTTGTGGACATATGGAGTTTTAGGTACATTGTATCATTTTAAAGCTTGTTCACTTGTCTAGCTTTCGGTAAAAATAATACTCATCTATCATGAATAGAAGTTGAGATATTGCCGAATGAAGAGTGTGGGGGTCACCTGATTTCAGAGGTAAAATTAGCGAGAAAATGGCCGCCAAAGTTTGGTGACTTCCAAAGCTTGTGAGTTCTAAGAAACTGCAAATTTACATTTTTGTGCGTTAAATCTACATTTTCGGTAAAATCCACACAGAAATATGTTTTTAAATGGACCGTAAAGGTGTTGAGTCAAAAAACAAAAATCCGATAAAAATGACCAAACAGACAGAAAAATGCCAGTTTTTTCTATTTTATTATTTTGACGAGCGCCTAATTTCATCACGATGCCTAACATATGGAGCTGAGACAGATTTCTACACATTACTGACACAGATGCCCTGCACGCTGTGTCAAAGGTTTGAAATAATCTGACAAGTATTTTACAGTTAAACAACAAATAATGTGTAAAGATTTTAGCAGTAGGAGTGTGAATCTTTGAATCCCATTTTCTCAAAACTATGCGCCATTGAGTTAAAACCCTGTCATTCTAAGACTTTAGTAAGAGTTTTATGGCACTTTCAACACAATAAGGTCATATAAGTGCTGAAAAGATTAGAGGTGTTACAAGAGAGTAACAAACACTAAAAAAGGAGGAGGAGAGATCAGGACGACAGACGTTTGATAGGAAAGAAGGAGCAAACCACACCAGAGCACCCACCAACCACCCACTTGGCTGACATTGTAAGAAGATGAGCCTCTCAAATACCTTGGAACTGTCTGGCTGGTACATCTTTCTTCACGTGGACACACGTGTACAGAGGCATCGGGATGTCTCCGTCTTTGATCGTCTCTCTCTGGTCCGTTAGGGTGGCATTCATTCTCTGTAGACAACACAAACACAGTAATGATACATAACGATAAATTTCACTTTTTGTTTACAAAATAGTTTTACGGTGCTTGCAACACAAATTGGTCATATAAGTAAGTGCTGAAGATTTGAGGTGTTACACAAGAGACATACACACCATACACACACAAATTAAATGGAGAGATGAGGATGATAAAAGTTTTAAAAGGAAAGATGGAGCAAACCACATCAGAGCACTTACCAATCACCCACCCACTGGATATCACTTACATAGCACAATTATATTGAGAAAGATGCTAAATACATTTTAATTTACAGTAATACAAAGAACATAAGAACATGAGCACTATATATGTTTCCTATAGCAATCCTTTCTCTCCATCTCTCTTTCTCTTCCTTTCCTACAAGAACTTGCATGACTACACCCACACCCACATACACATCGATTATGACACACAGTCACTAGTCATAGAACAAGCATGGACTAAAAAGCTATACACTGAAAGAATTTTAAAATATTACATATGGTGCATTGGAAATGTTGTTCATTACTGATTAAAGCTGGCCAGAAATGAAAGCCCACACAAACTTTTCTGATTCACAACAAAACAAAAACTTTTATGGCAGAATGAGTTAGAAGACAATTATTATAAAATATCTGAACATTTCCACAAATGTTAGCTCAATCGGTATCATGTTGGGTATTGACTGATGTGGCTGACTCTGGTTTGAATTTCTGTAGGGGCATACTTGACCTTGGTTTGCTTAGGAAATGTACAAGGTTTTCCACCAACTGGGATTTATCCCATCAGAAACTGATGATAAATTCAGAGGTCTTGCAAGTTATGAGATTTTACAGCGTTGAAAAGTGGATACAGATTTTTACAAAAATTTCTAAAGCAAGTCACAATGTGAGAATTTTGTCAAAAGTGAGAGGTATTTTTAGTTTTTTAGTTTCAGTAAAGGTTTTTCGGCGCTTGCAACTGCATAAGGTCATATGAGCGCCAGAGGATTAGAGGTGTTACAAGAGAGTAACAAACACAAAAAAGAAGGAGGGGAGAAAAGGATGATAGATGTGTCAGAGGTAGTCTGGTTGAAACAGAGTCTAACCATAGAGTGTTGATGTCGAGCCTACAAGGAGGAGGACGAAACTAAGGACCATGTGTTCATGAGATGTCCCGCCAACTATCGTGCCGGAACCCGTCTGCTAGGACATTTCAGTAACCCACTTTCAGCACTTTTAAAGGACCCTTGGGCAAGTGTTGAGTTCCTGCATGCTGTAGGCATCGCTGACCGTTTACGACGCCACAGCGCCAGAAGAAAGAGAAAGAGAGAGAGAGAGAGAGCCATAGACAGTTGATATCCCTATACATAAATCATGAACAGTTTGAGAGGCAATGAACTCACTCAGAGGCAGAGGCAGACAGAGGGAAAAGATACTGGACAAGATAACAACATGTTTGGGAGCAGCAAGAACAACAGACACCATTGCTGCAACGCAAGACAGAGTGAAATAGAGGTCCATGATCGCCCACACAAGTCGGCAAGACACCGGATGATGATGATGAACTCACTCCAGAGAGCAGTGTCTCTCCCACCATCCGGCCGAAGATATCGGTAAAGCTGACCGGCTGCTTCTCCCGTCTCTTCTTCACCAGGTAGGAGGTGTACTTGTACATGGTGGCCGGAGTGAAGAATCGTAACAATCTCTTGTCGATGTTCTGCTTCATCTCTTCCTGGAACTCGGCCATGTCCACGTTGGGCCACTTTGGGTGTGAGTACAAGGTGGACAACAGCCTGGGGGGAACGAGTCACATGATGAAACAAATCAACCAATGAAAGAATGGATTAAAAGAAGTGAATAATACAACAACAAAAAAATTAACAAGAGAATATCTAATATACTTTAAAAAAAAATATGAACAAGTGAATATCTAAAATACTCCAACCCCCCCCCCCAAAAAAAAGTGAATCCCCCCCAAAAAAAACAACAACAACCAAACATGAACAAGAGAATATCTAAAATACAGAAAAAACCATGAACAAGAAAATATCTAAAATACTGAAAGAAAATCATGAACAAGTGAATATCTAAAATACTATTTAAAAAACCAAGAACAAGTGAATATTTAAAATACTCAAAAACAAAAACAAAACATGAACAAGTGAATATCAAAAATACAACCCCCCCATGAACAAGAAATACTTTTTTTTAAATCTAAAAAAGATAATTCTAAAATACTAAACAAAACCCATGAACAAGGGAATATCTAAAATACTATTAAAAAAAACCAACCCATAAACAAGTGGATATCTAAAATACTCCAAAAGTGCTGAATGGAAGTGAGAATTCCTAACCCACAGGGCAGAGGGGAGAGGGAAAATGTGGATAAATATAAAACGAAGAATGAAAAAAAGAATGTTTGAATCTCGTCTCACTTGACATTAAAGCCTACTAAGTCTGTCTCTCTCCTCTACTCCCTCTCTCTATCTCAGGCTATTTCTGTCTCGCTCCCCTCCTTCTTTTCTTTCTCTCTCTCTCTCTCTCTCTCTCTCTCTCTCTCTCTCTCTCTCTCTCTGTTATTGTTTCTGTGTCTCTTTATCCCTCTTCTTCTCAATGTCCAGACCTCATTCTACTCTCCCCCCCTCCCCGTCTCTCTGCCCCTGTTCTATCTCTCTCTCTCTCTCTCGCTGTCTCTCTCTCTCTCTCTTTCTCCCTCTCTCTCTCTCCCCCTCTCTCTCTCTCTCTCTCTGTGTCTGTCTGTCTGTCTCTCTGTCTGTCTGTCTTTCTGTCTGTGTCTTTATCTCTGTCTCCGTCTCTGTCTCTCTTTCTCTCTCTCTCTCTCTCCTTCCCTCCCTCTCATAATTTTGTTGATATAATTCCCCTTTTTACTTTAAAATCCAACCCCTGACCTGATTTTAAAAAAAAAGTCAGCTCACCATGAAGACCCCGAGAGACCACAGGCATAAGTCACACAGTCCAGCACGCCCGACTCCTTCAAAGCTTTCACCACTCCACTGTAGGCAGTCATGGCCCGGAACCCTCCTCCCGAGCCCAGAACTGCCACGGTCGGCACCTGAGAGAAAAAACATCATGACATTAGTTTTAATTTTAGTAGAGGTTTTACGGCGTTCTCGACTGCATAAGGTCATATGGTCACTTTTAAGGACAAGCGGGCTAACCCAGGGCTTCCCAGGAAGTTGAGGTTGTTTCAGAATGCTCTGAGGTCTGCTGGGGTAATAGTATAGATTGTGAAGCGCATAGAGCCTGCTGTTGAGCGGGGATGTGCGCTATACAAATGCTATCTATTATTATTATTATTATTTCGGGGGCTTTCAGATATCTTGACCTTCACCAAAAGTGGGCCTTGCCCTACCTATAGGAGAAGTTTGGTCTCAGCAGTGTGTATATTTGTTTGGTTATAGAAAAAACTCTTCTTGTCTTTTAAAGAAACTGAACAAGGGGCAAAAACTTTGATTTTCTCAAAACTTTGATTTTCTCAAAACAGCATTTTTCGGGATAGCCCCCTTGTGCTTAAAAGCGACCAGTTTTAGTAGAGGTTTTGCGGCGCTCTCAACTGCATAAGGTCATAATATGAGTGCCAGAAGATTAAGAGGCGTTACAAAAGAGTAACAAACACAAAAAAGAAGAAGTGGGTGAGCGCTATATAAATGTCATATATTATAATTACTGTTCCAGATGTTCCTCAGACCTGGACAACCACTCTTCTCCTTAACAATGGGTGGTCATCTTGAACTATTTTAACTGTTTTTGTTTGAACTAAAAGTACCCATTTACACAAAAAAAACAAAGTCTCAGGACTACGTCTTTTGTGGTAAACCATGTTTGTCCATCCAGCAACCCTTTTTTTCATCCTCATATCTTCACAACCACAAGCACATTCACACACTCACACAAACACACACACACACACAACCACTCATACACACACACACATATACATACACACACACAATCACACATTCATCCACACAATCACATATAGGCCTTCAGCACACAACACACAATCTCACACACACATACGTACACACACACGCGCGCACACACACACACCACACAAACATACACACACACAATCACACATTCACCAACACAATCTCACCCACACCACACAACAAACAATCTCAGACATTCACCGACACAATCTCACACACACCACACAACACACACACACACCCGACAACTCACACAATCACACACACATTCTACCTCATTAATGTTCACCGGTCCATCTTCCTCCCCAATCAAGTTGCAGACTCCCTCCATCGCTTTCGCCTTCCGTCTTTCAATGAACTGTTTCTCAGCGTCACTCAAGCACAAGCTGTAGCGAAGTGTTGGGTATCGACTGAGGAGGTAAACGAAATAATAATATGATGACATTATTTTCGTAATCATAGAGAGCTTTATCCTATGAGCAGACTCATTACTTTTTACATTGTGAGTTCTTTGTCATAATCATATATTCTTTTTTGTTCAACATAAGCATTGATAAAAAAAAAATAATAATTAGAAAAAAAAATCTTTTTTTTTTTTTTTGGTGCAACATATGCATTGATTTGCATTTTCAGGACCATAAACCTGTTTATTGTAAAAGTGGACTTTTATTATTGCACCAGTACGTCAAACTGTATGAAATAATTTTAGAAGAGGTTCACAAAAAAAAATTCTTCTCCATCGTACATGTCTCTGCCTTACTTAGTTTATTATAAGTCACATTCAACATCTAGTTGACAGAAAATTGGCAAAATGAATGTAATTATTAACTATTATTATTATTAAGTACTTCTTAACAAAACTGAAGTAGTACAGGCACGTCACATGACCATGTGGACTGACCTAAACTATCCCACAGGGAACAGCACGAGGAGGGAGACGAAGAGACAGACAGAGGAATAGATGGGAAGACAACATGATCAAAGTATGGATCGATTGGCTGTGACTGAAACATCATACTACAGAAAGTTGAGAACCCGGAGGAGTGGAAGAAGCTGGTGGTAAAATATTTTTTTTTTTTTTTGGTCAGTGTTTTACGGCGCTCGCAACTGCATCAGGTCATATGAGCGCACAGGACACACCTAATATATTCAGTTGGTAGGAAATTTTAAATTTTGCCTGGGTGGTGGCTGAAGCCTACTCTTATAGATTTTAGACCACCAAGGGATCTTTAACATGCACAACTTGCACATGAGCCCTCCGAGATTTTTCCCCATTGTCCGAGAAGGCTAGGTGTAAATCTTTCCTACCAGAAGATCAGAGGTGTGGCTGAAAGACAGCAGTAAGAAGGAGCCAAGCAGTAGCAGCAGAAAGAGTCAGGAGTCCAGAGGAGAGGGCAAAGGAAGTGAAGGGGTGGGGGCAGAAAGAGGAGACGAAAGCAGACGACAGAACAAACATTGCTAGAGAGCAGGAAAGGAGGTGAAAGGAGAAAATTTTAGAGAAGACAATTTTTCAGTTGCTACCCGGACTCAAACGCGGGACCTTTGAATGAGACCTCTAGAGACCTCTAGGCCACGAGAGCCCCCTTGTAAAATCTACAGTGGTGCTGCAATGGTCCGCTCCTAGAACACTATTCCAGCGTCTTATGAATTAGGAAAACAGCATGAGTATGAGCATCCCAAAACTTTTTTTGTAGCTTTCTAACCCAGTCCCCAACATTCTGAAATAATCGGAGGGCAGGAACAGATGGACTCTGAGGGCAGGAACAGATCGACTCACTCGAACTCCAGTTTGAACTCGATGTCAACCTCCGTTACCTGTGGGGAGATTGTAAATAATGGCAATGATAATAATAATAATAATAATGATGATAATAATAACAATAATAATTTCAATAACAATAATAATCACAATACCCAAATGCAATAGAATTAATAGCAAACATAATTATTACTAATTATACTGTGTTTTATGATGAATGTGTG